CGTGTCCTCTATTCTGTTCTGAACCCTTGGGTCCTCTCATTCCAAACACATGTCATTCAACTCCCCCACCCCCACCCCTGCAGCCGCCGGGCTCCGCTCTCTGCGCAGAAGACGCCCTGGGTTTCCCTGCGGGAGGACCTGCCCCGCACCAGGCAGGCCTGCCGGGCGGTGGGGAGGCCCGGGGCCAGCCAGACCACAGCCAGTGGCATCCCTAAACCCTCTCAGGTCCTCCTTTCTGGGTGGCCAGTGTGTTTTGGTTGCTTATTTTTGAGTATTTGAATTCACTAAAACAACTTGGTTTCAGCCAAGAATGTGGGAACCCTCCATAGACATTTCTGGTGGGGGAGATCAGGGGGTGCTGGAGGGCGGGGGTGCTTTAGGCAAGCGCAGCATAGGACAGTTGCCTTTCATAACCAGCCGTTCGGGGTGGTAGCGCTCATTACTTACAAAAGAGTGTTTTATGAAGCTTCCCCTCAAAATCTTTATGGAGCCATAAAGAAGCTCAGAATTCTTTCCTCTCCTCTGTCTGTGAGGGTACAAGGGGGCCCACTGCCTCCTGCAAGGGTACAGCCCAGTAGCGACTGCGCCTGAGGCTATGGGAACCAGGCGGTGCACGCCCAGGCGGCATCTTCCCATACCAAGAAAGGGTGTCCTACACCCCACAGTGGGCAGGACCCCAACACCCCCTCAGCATTGACTGAAAAGTAGGGGCACCCCAGGCTACATCTAAATCAGGGGTTCTCGGCCTCCTCCGTGCACCAGGATCATGTGGAAGGCCTTTAAAAGAGACAGGGGCCCCCCCTGGTTCTCCGTGTGTTGCCAAAGCTCCCCCGCAGGAGGGCTGCTCTGAACGGAGACTGCAGTGGCTCTCCCAGGGGCTGGTCACAAGGGGACTCGCTCACCACCGCATTCCCAGGAGGGCCTTTCCGTCCACAAGGTAGCGGCGACTGTCCTAAGTGGGACATGTGATTCAGCCCCTGCCCTAGAAGAATTTGTCACCCAGCCAGAGAAATAAGATGTGCACGTAAAAATAACTGTGCTTAGGAAGGGCAGAAACCAGTACGCACCCCAGAACGGGAAAAGCAGGTGTATCATAATTCTCAAAGCTGCCGTTGACTTCTGGTTTGCAGTGAAGTCCAGAAACGGTTTCGTTCACTGTCACTGGGATGGTGCCGGCTTTCACTCCAGTGAGTTACTAACCCAGAGGTGTGCTAGTACCAACCCTAGTGACAGAGGGATTCCGTTGTCATCTTACACAGAAAGACAGGCTCATGTAGAGGTCATCTGGCCCACGCTCCTTGCAGGAGAGAGGAGTCGGTTCCTCGGGGCCCAGAGAAGGGAAGCCTGAGCCACAGCAAAGCAGGACATCCAGGGCTGGAGGCCAGGCTGTGATGCCAAGCCCAGAGACCTTCTGTCACTCCACTCGAGGGACAAAGAAGCCTTAGGCTAGTGAGATTGGGTCTTTGGGTCTGACTGCTGTTAAACAGCGACAGCCTCTACAAGGTGTAGCACTTGTCCTTGCCTAGAATTCCACCATTAGTGCTTCATTCCTTTGTATACAGACATTTTCTGTTTGAATGCAAGGTTTCCTAATAGGAGAAACGTACTACATTCCTGATACCTAAGTTCCCAGGTAGGCAACCTATAGCTCTCAGGCCCTGAGATTTTTTTTTTCAGCAAACTATGTTTCTCCTTTCTGCCTGACTCACTGCTCAGAAATGGGAAGATTAGATTGCTAGGGTCATGCCAGCCTGCTTGGCCCGGTCGTTGTTCTTAGAGCTGAACAGAAGAACCTGTGTTCTCATTTGAGCTTTGGACATTTAGCTCCACTGAAATGATGTCGTGAAGGTGGGGCATGATGAAGGACTTCAGACCACTGTTATCAGTAAGGAACTCAAGGCCCCTGTGTGCTCGCGACCATCGGCCCTCATGACCCACGTAGACAGTGTGGAACAGCGCTGCATGGAGAAGAATCCTGTCTTAAAGGCAGGGCAGGTGGCTGGACAGAGACCTGATCGCCCCATCCCAATGTCAGCCAACACTCTCGCTTCCTCCTTGGCAGGCATTCATCTAAGCACTTTGCATCTATTAATCCCACATTAATACCGTCACCCCCTCTAAAGATTGAGACCTCAAGGCACAGAAAGGTTAAGCAACTTTCCCAAAGTCACACAGCTAGTGAGCGAGCCAGGATTTGGACCCAGACAGTCTCCATGTCTGTGTACGTAGCTATTGTGCTAACTGCCTCACCAGGAGAAGCCCGCTTGCCCTTCCTGCGTTAGCCAGGCAGGCTGTTGAGAGACCCCTCTCCACCTTCCCAGCGGCAGACGGAAGATGGTCATCTCCTCTCTGGGCAGTGGGGTGCCAGGGCGGCTGTGGGCACTCATCGACCAGGGGGTTCTGCCCCAGCTCTGCTCTGGGCCTCAAGCCCAGTGAGAAGCCCTGAGCCCTGCAGACCTTCTGCCCAATTCCCTGTGATCTTCCCCTGAATACTGTCAGCGAAGTTCTCTCCTCGACAGCCCAGACGTGCTGTCCATTCAAAAATAAAATGAGAGCCCTTTCCCAGGGAGTTAGCCTGCCACAGGTGACCCCTGGCTCCTCTGGGCCTGGGGAGAGATGCTGAAAACGGGACCACAAGGCCAGTCCGCAAAGCTGCTCCTACCTCCCTGCACCCCCAGGTCTTCAGCTCCAACCCTGGGAAAGCACATGTCCACCAGGTCCGCCAGCTGGGTCCTCCTGGCCCTCGGGCCCCTCTTACTGACCTGGAGACAGGCTGTACTCCATCAGGGCAGCTTTAGGCCAAGGTCAGGATGCTGCTTTGGCCTCTGACAGCCCCTGGCTGGGGAAGCCCCACCCCCAACACACACACCCCTTTCCTGGTTCTGTGCTTGCCCACCCCCCACAAGCCCAGCCACCAGCAGATCCCATTGGCCCTGGAAATAGCATCAGGGGCTCATTGGCCAGGTCATCTGGAGAACACATTTGGGGTGACCAGTGAGGCGGGAGGTGGATGGCAGGGAGCTGGGGAGTGGGCTGTCAGGGCTGTGGGCTGGTCACTGTAAGGGGCAGACGGGGTGGCTCTCCTCCCCCAACCCTTCCTCTCACACCTGTCCTTCTGTTTAGCCTGTTTTGATGGAGATTAAATTCCAGCCTTCAGCAAAATGAGCCCAGGCTCCAGCAGCCTTTATCTGAGATGAAGGATAATGGATTTCCTTGGATATGGTTTTTCCCTTCCTCCTTCTCTTGGACTTTTTGTCCAAAATGCACTCCACTCCAGAAAATAGACCTTTTGTTAAAGTCTTTTTATTGACTAAACTCCCCATCCCACCACCTCCACCCCGCCTTGTCATGCTCCCCAGGAAACCTGCTTCAAGTACACCTGTGAGAGAGGAAGAACTCGACCTGCCCTCTCTCCTGCCTGCTTCCTCCCCGCCCCCGCCCCGCCCGCACTGAGAATCAGGAAAAATAACTTTTCTTCCTTATTTTCCTTCAGCACATCCTGCCAGCACCCACATCTTCAGAAATGTAGATCCTGCCCTGAAGACACGGGGGAGAGGACTTGGTGGGGGGCCTTCTGTGGTGTCCCCGGCGGGAGGGGGCGGCCTCCGTGTGTCTGTGGTCCTCAGGGGCGCTGGGAGCCCATTCCAGCGGCAGGGCCCACCGTGTACATCTGTTTCACCTGGATCTCTCTTTTTCCCCTTCAACAGCCCTATTACCATATTTAAATGCAAGTATGTCTCTTTTCATTGGATTTTAAGTAGCTTAGCCTGACCTTCTTAGAGTAGTTCGCTCCCTTTTGAACTTTCCCCACCCCGCCCCAGTAGTTCCGTGTAGCTAGGATGGTAGTCTTAGAGTTTAGTGGGCTTCTAGTTCCCTCCGTTCGGGGGTGGCCCCTCTCCCCTTCCTCCGCGGTGCATGCGCCCCCTCTGTCCTGTGCCAGGGCCTTATTTGGGAGGCTCCGAGCTCAAGCTGGCAGTCCGAGGGCCGTCTGTTCCCCGCTGCCGGCTCGGGCACATCACTCCTACCCGGCCGTTGGAAATGGGGCTCGGAGCCTCCGGGGGCTGCCGGGATGGAGAGGCTGCTCGCTTACACGTGGGGAGTGTATCTGGACGTGGCCCCGCGCCTGGCTGTGTGCACATGCTGGTGACGGAGGCCAGGGGAGGGGGCTCGCCCACCCCTTGCTTGACCTGGACGCCCTGCCGCCACTCTGGGCCACCTTGTCCTGACTGTTGGCCCCACTGCTGGGACAGCCCTGCTGCCTGGTGCGGCGTGAGGCAGCGTCGGCCTCCATCCAGGCGTTTCAGATGGCCCGAGGGCTTGACGGAGGCCCCAGGAGGCCCCGCGGTGCAGGCCTGACCAGGGACGCGGAGCTCAGGCAGAAGAGCGGATCTGAACTCCCACCCTGTGCTTCCGGGGCTGAGCACAGAGAGAAAGCCCCAGGGCCCACCCCACCTAGGTCCGGCAGCCCGGCGCCCCCGCGGCTGGCTGCATGCGCCCGCGGTCCGTCCGCCAGACCCCGAGTGCTGCGCCCTTCGGCCTGGGGCGGCGCTGCTGACGCCTGAGGTCTGGCCTTGCGGTGGCCGAGCAGACCCGCAGAGCCTGGGGCCAACAGCTGGAGTTAGGCCGGCCCCTGGCCAAGGTGCCCCGTGGCTCAGGGCTGACGGCTCCCTGCAGGCGACCAGCCGTGCCCGGTCCTGCTCTGGACAAGTCCTGGGGAATTGCCAGGTGTCCGTGCAGAGGTGGCAGGGAGCACACCCTGGCTCTTTGTTCGTATGCCTTTTAGAACCAGTTTCCAGGGTGACAGATGTGTGAGCCCCACACACCTGAAGATGCTGTGCCTTCAGAAGCCCGGGAGCCACTGATCTGTGTCCCCTAAAAGCTGACCAGTGGAGATGCCTTCCCGTCTTTTGGGTGGAGGGGTGGGGTGGCGTGTGGCCTGTGAGCCAGGGCTGTCCGAGGCCCTTTCCGGGACCCTCCTTGACTTCAGCCCTCTCCCCCAGGCTTCCCAGCGGCGGCTTACGGACCAGTGGCGGCGGCGGCAGTGGCGGCAGCAAGAGGATCAGGTAGGAAGGTGTATGGGGCAGGCGGCTCCCAGGCGTGCCCCAGCGTGCGGGGAAGGTAAAGGCCCTGTTGGATCTGTGTGGCTGCGTCTGTCCCCTACTCTCACCACAGCCCGGAGGGTGGGGACAGGGAGGCTCGGGCCAGGCCCTGCCACCTAGGGTGCCTCCCAGCCGGGGTCAGTCACCGGACTGCGCACCAAAGCTAGATTATTTTTCCGTCATTGCAAAAACTAAAAATGACTTGCTCTTTGACTGTGGTTGGCCCCTTCACCTGACAGCCGGCTTCAGGGCACCTGTGGTCATTTCCCTCAGCTTTTGCTGGTTCAGGAGACTCTGTTCCTTGGGTCTCTGACCCAGGCAGGGAAGGTCTAGGTTGTCACAGGGAACCTCCGAGCCCATCCGTGTGTTCCCAGCCTTGGAGCAACCAGTCCGCTGAGCTCCTGGTGCCCCCGGCAGGTGGTCCTGCTGGTCCGGCTAAAACCCAGAGCTCTCAGAGGCCCAGTGGGGCCAGCCCTGACCTCAGGGAATGAGCTGCAATGTCCTGAAGTCCCTGTCGCCCCCCCCCCCCCCCAGATACTCTCAGCAGAGACGAGAGAACTCCTGGACTCTGGCTGCCAAAGGACGTGGGGCGTTCTCTCCCATGAGGTTGCCCTGGTCCTTTGGTCTCCAAATCCAACCTTTTAGGAGGATCCGAACCCCTCAAGTGAGGTGGGAACATTTCCCAGTGGCCCTGTGGGGTCCGGTGGGAGCTGGGGCATGTCCAGGCCCCAGGCCCCAGGAGGGCCTTCTGTCCCTCTCCCCCAGAGGCTCTCTGCCTCCTGACAAACGGCTGCGGCTGTGCGCTGAGCTCCCGGAGGCTCCTGCCTCCCCCACCGTCCCCTCGGCCACGAGGAGCGGAGGTTCGCTGCTCCCCCACACTCTGGGACAGGGCACTGGAGCATCCAGGGAAGCGGTTCTTTGGAAGAAGCAGGGCTCTGAAGAGGGCGGGAAGGGAGATGCTGGTGAGGGTACCAGGAAATGGGGCATTAAAAGCCCAGAGGGCAAATGCCAAAAACCCAAACCCTCTGTGACAAGAAACTGGCACAGTGAGGCCCATTAGAAATGTCAGTAAAAATCCGTTCCATGCAAACTGGCACTGCCTCAAGCTACAAAGGATCCGCTCCTGTGAATCACCCACTGGGGGTTATTTGGAGGGGCCAGGGCGTTCTGAGGGGGCTGCAGAGGGGCAGTGGACCACAGAGCTGGGCAGACTGGGCGGCAGGTCCAGAGAGCTGGGAGCCCTTCCTGAGCATCCTCCTGCCCCAGCGCCCAGAAGGCCCCCCTGCCCTCTGACCAGCGTCCCCGGGCGCCCCCTGCCCTGGGGCCGGGTGCACAGCTGCCTCGTACTTCCCTGTTCCGTTTGGATTTTTAACTTGAGCGCTTTATGAACGAGCCCCTGTCCCACCTGTGCCTGGTGGGGGGACGAGCAAAAGAAAACTTGAAGTTTTTGAGTGTTGTTGGTTTTGTTTTCTCCGTTCATTTTCTTTCTTATTATAACTTGGATTATGAAACTAAACTTTAACCCGAAATTAACCCTGCCTCTCTCCCCACCCCATTCTCCCTGACGTCATGGCAAGTTTAAAGGGCAGCATGGGGTTCTTCGTGAGTCAGAGTGGTCTCCCCGTGGCCTGTGCCCCCTTCCGCCACCCTCTCCTCTCACAGACCCCCAGAGCCAGGCGGGAGTCCCACCCATCCCCCCTAACTCCTAACCCCAAAGATTAGAGCCATCTCCAACCACACTTTTTTTTTCAGGATCAGTGGTGTTTTATTTGTAGCCATTTCCATCGGGAGCGAAGTCTCCCACAGGCCGCTGTAGGTCAGCCATGCTCATCACTGCACTGTTAGTGAACTCTATTCAGGAGTGTGTGCCCAGACCACCTGCCACACCAGCGAGGAGCAAATCCTCCACCCCGAGGTGTCGCCCTCCCCCGCCAGAGTGCAGGCTTGGCCAGGAAGTGACAGGCACCCCACCATCTGCCTGGGGTCAGGGGTGTGGGTGTGCCCAAGGGTGATGGCTAGCCTGTGCCCGCCCAAGTCAGAACCCCACCCAGGGGGAAGACACCTGCCGGTGTATAGACAGGGCGGCCCATCCCTCCCTTCTTCGGACCTGGAGCCGGGAGCAGGGCGCAGGGCTGGGGGAGGAGAGCTTTGCCTTCTTTCTTTCAGTGACTGTGGCCTGTATGAACTGCCCCCCTCTTTTAGGAAATGATCTGGACTCCGAGCCCGGCAGAATGGCCCATTATTTACCTGTTGGTAGTGGCCCCTCAGTGGCACCTCAGCATGGGTGCAAGAGGGCCACACAGACTTGTTGGGGTTCGTGCACCGGCCCAGGCCAGCATGATTGGCAGGTTCTACCCTCCCCTATTCTTGCGGCCCTGCACCCCATTCCAGCTCCTTCCCAGGGGACAGGGGTGCTCCTTCAGCCCCCCAAGCCAGAGCCAGCAGCCCGGGCTGTTGGAGGGAGTCCCGAGCTCAGCTGCAGGGAGGAGCTGGTTCAGGGAGACCCTGTGGGCACCCACCTCGAGCTGGGGCCCCGTGGGCCTGGCAGATGACGCAGAGCAGAGGAGAGGCCGCCTCTGCTCCCCAGGACTCTCAGGCCAGGCCAGGGTTGGGGTTCGGGATGAGGCATCCTATGGAAGGCCCTTTTTTGTCTTTCATTTTTGTCTGGCCCCAGTGTTTTGTTTGGGTGTGTTTCTTTCACCAGGACGCTGGGGGAGCTTCCTGAGCGAAGCACCTGTGAGGGCCTGGTGGCGGGGAGAGCTTCGCTGTGCTCAGGTTGGCAGCTCCAACCCGCGGGGCTCTCGTGTCAGGGTAGAAGGCCCGGGGCCCTTGAGCTCTGCACCCCTCAGCCAACCCCTCTGGGCCAGCTTCCCGCCTTTTCCCAAGCCGCCAGGACCTGAGGGAGCAGCAGGGCTCAGGGGAGCCCCGCAGGGAGGTCCCTGCCGACTCCTCGATAACTTCACTACCAGTGACTGGTCATTTTCTTTTACCTTCACCCGGTGGTTTGAAATGTCATCTTTTCTTGTGCTCAGTCGAGAGTTTGTTTGTTTATTTTGATCGTGTTCATTCAGTTCCAGTGGCCCCATCATGCCCCACCCAAACCTCAGTCCTGTTTGGCAAACGACTCCCCCCACAGGTGAGGGAAGTGGTTCGGATTTCCAGGCTATTTTATTTCTGGGTGACCTCCGGGTGGGTCCGTGTGTCAGTCTTAGAGCTTCTGCGCCCCTCCCCGCCCAGCCCATCTCTGGCCCCAGCCAGGACCCCTTACTGCGCTTTATACTTGCCAGCTTTACCCCACTGTAGTGCCAGGAGCTCCTGCCGGCGGCGATGTGAGATCACGTTTCTGTTGTCTTTTCTCTTGCTTGGTTGGGGCTGCGGTGAGAGTGTCCCTGAGGCATACTCTCCCGCCTCTCTTACACTAGGATCTGCACACCTCCTCTCAAACACTCTTCTGAGCACGCTCAGCGGGAAGGTTTGTCCACACCTATTAATCCTCTCTCAGTGTCCAGCTTCCTGTTAGTACCAGCTGGTTTGCATGTTTTTGCTTGTTCAGATGAAACAGTTCAAGAAACAAACTCATATCCAACTCTCGAGAAATGTCTTTTTTTTGTACTTTCGTTTTTGATTTTTTTTTTTTTATTAGTCACAACTCCAAAACACCTGTTGTCCAGTAAAACATTTCACACCTCCCTGCCTGTTCTTAGAGTGTATGTCTCTGTGGGACTGAACTAAATGCATGCACTGTAGTCGATGTACTGGTAGCTGTAGCCGTAGTTGTAGAACATGCATTGTTGAGTTGATATTGCAGGGTCCCCGACAGCTCGGCACAGCACCGCTGTCTGCAGGATAGCGTGGGGGCCAGGAACAGAGGGGCTCCATACTTTCAATGTTGCCAAGGGGCTTGGATCCATGTTCTCGCCATCAGCCACCACCACCTCCCCTCACACTCCCCGCTCCCCCAGTCCAGAACTGGGCCACCACCCTCAGCTCTAGCCTTCGAACCGAGGCCTCTGACCTACTGTCTGACTACAGTGGAAGAGAATGGAGCCAGGTTCAGGAGTCTTCCAAGGTCTTCCTTGTTCTGGTCTTCCTGGTGAGGTTCTTGAGCACAGCAGGTCTTTTCTTACTTCTTAGGGGCTACCTGCCGGGCTCCTCCAAGCCCTCTTCCTTTTGCCAGCTCACGTTCAGCCCTTCAAGGAGACAGGTCTGTCTGGTGGCCCTACGTGTGCGGTCTCCTTCCTGGGCGGAGGAGAAATGAGAGCTGGTCGGGACAGAGTAAAATCTTAAGATCCTCATCTGCAGACAGGGAACGCATTCGATCCTAGAGAAGGTCAGTGAAGGTGGAGGGGAAGCCTTCGATGAGCTAGCTCTCCAAGGGGTGGGGTGAGGGGTCACAGGACCAGCTTGGAGGTATTGGCACACTGCGGGGTAGGGCGGGCGTTGCGTGGCCGCCGAGGAGGCCGCCGTCTTCCTCCCTCTCCGAGAGCAGGGACAGGTGCAGTCGGTCATCTTTGGACACATTGTCTTCCTTGTGTTTGTGGTGACAAGTCACAAAGGAGCACCAGAGGTCTCCGAGTGTTTGGAGCTGTCCCTGATCTATGACTGGAGGCAGAAGCCCAGGCGGTCGCGGAGTCCGTGACAGGACCAGGCGGCAGCTCCGTGGAGAGAAGGGGAGCTGAGCAGTCGGGGCAGTCAGGGACCGGGGAGCCGGCTGAGCAGGCCAGTCAGCCACAGAATGAGGGCCCTGCGGCCCCGGAGGGAGATCTGGGAGGTGCTTCCCTTCTGGCTCCGCCCTTGTGGGGGTGGGCGTGGTGGGGGAGGGGCAGAGGGAGGGTCTGGACCTGCGAGGCTTCTGGCTGCTGAAGCTGAGAGAGCAGAAAACCTCCCCTGTGGGCCTAAAGCCCAGGTCTGGCTCTGCCAGGAAATGGCTTTGCTGTCCTGTGTCTGGACATCCTAAGGGTTTC